TTAATTCCTTATAGGTGTATGGATATATCCTATTACTGATAGCATTGTACTTCAGGATAGATCCTGCAACATGTTTTGTGATGATGAATGCTACACCATTCCTCTTTAATTTGCCATTCCCAGCATAGTAGATCATATAGTTGTCTGCCCTAGCCAGTCCATTTCAGCTCACTAATGCCTAGGATGGAGCTCTGGTAGCATAGTGGCTAAGACACTTGCCTGCTAACCAGACGGCTGGCGGTTCAAACCCACCAGCCACTCCTCGGAAGAAAGGTTGGGCAATCCTACTTCCGTAGTGATACTGCCTCGGAAGCCCAAGGAGGGGTCGCTATGAGTCAGGTTTGACTTGATGGCACATAACAACAACAATGCCTAGGATATTGATCTTTATGTGTTCCATTTCATTTCTGACAACTTCCAATTTTCTTAGATTCATACTTAGTACATTCCATGTTCTGATTATTAATGTTTGCAGCTATTTCTTCCCATTTTGAGTCATGCCCCATCAGTAAATGGAGGTCCTGAAAGCTTTACTTCACCCACATCATTAAGGGCAACTCTATTTTGAGGAGGCAGCTCTTCCCCGGTCGTGTTTTGAGTGCCTTCCAACCTGAGGGGCTTGTCCTCTGGCACTATATAGGACAATGTTTTAGGGGTAGTCAAAAAGGTTTCCAATAATACATCAGACAGTGTTTCACTGCTACTCATAAGGTTTTCACTGGCCAATTCTTTGAGAAGTGGATGGCACCTTCCTTCTTCTAAGTCTTAGTTTGGAAGCTCCACTGAAACTTGTCCACCATGGATGACCCTGCTGTTATTTGAAATACTGGTAGCATAGCCTCCAGCCTCACAGCAACATGCAAGCCACCAAGGTAAGACAAACTGACAGATGAGTGGTGGAAGACACCTTGTATTACTGGGGAATTCCAAGTGTTATTTTCAGAAACCAGACAGAAAGCCAGTTCAAGTTCTTTGTTCCATACACCCATTTTTCTCAAATACTTTCATATCAAAATCTCTCTTTCTTAGGGGGATAGTTAAGACACATTAAATATGCTGTCATTTTTTAAATAGTATTGATAGAAAGGAAGTAATAGTTCTGCAAAGTACAAAACATTAAACTCTGCTGTGAGAGGGGGTACAGTTATTAAACAATTGTCAGATTTTGCTAGTGGTATACTCTTTGGAAATCCTCTAGTAAGTTGGAGACAACATTCAATCTTTCATATACTCCTACTAAAAGTTTTCTTCAAACTATAGAGTGTTGTGTTTTTTTCTAATTGTAGAAAGCACCAAAACCAAAAAACACTGATAGTACCAAAAGGAAGAAGAAAGTGAAAATCAGAGGGTAATACTTCTATGCAGAAAAAAAGTTCTATTATGGCACATGTATATGTATATACATGTATATATGTATCATATATATATATATATATATATATATATATATATATATAAATTACTAAATAGGTTTATATGCAGTGTCTAGGAAGGCAGTGATGTTTCAGTGGTAGACTTCTCACCTTCCATGTGGGAAACCTGAGTTTGACTTCTGGGTAATATAACTCTTGTGCAGTCACCACTAACTTGTCAGTGTAGGCTTGTGGGTAGTCATGATGTAGCATTTCATTCCACTGTGCATAGGTCATCATGTGTTGGAAGCCACTCAACAGCAGCTAACAACGTACATAGGTGTCTAGTAACCTGCTTTTCCCCCACTTAACAATATGCCAGATAACAGATTTATTAGTAACTTTTACCATCTACTAGATCCTCTCTTGTCCTTTTTTCTCCTCATGGTCAGTGTAGTGGGTTGAGTGGTGGTCCTCCAAAAGATATGTCCAAGTCCTAATCCCCCAGTACCAGTGACTTTATTTGGGGGAAAAAAAGGGGGCTTTGCAGATCTAATTAAGGATTTCAAGATGACACCATGTAAATTAAACATGTAGGCCCCAAATCCAATGACAAGTGTCCTTATGACACAGAAGACAAGAGAAGACCATGTGAAGACAAAGGCAGATATTGGAGCCACAAGCCAAGGAATATTTAGAACCACTGGAAGGAAGGTTGGGCAATCCTACTTCCGTAGTGATACTGCCTCGGAAACCCAAGGAGGGGTCGCTATGAGTCCGGGCCGACTCGACGGCACATAACAACAACAACAACAGAAGCTGGAAGAGGCAAGGGAATGTTCCCCTAAAAGCCTGGATAGACTTTGACCCTGCTAATACCTTAACTTTAGACTTCTGGTCCCCAGAACTAAGAAAGAATAAATTTCTGTTGTTTTACTAAATTTGTAGTAATTTGTTACAGCTACCATGGGAAACAAGTTAGCATTGCAAAAATTTTATATGATAAGCCACTGCCTGCTCTTCCATTTGCATTTTCTTACCCTCCAGCTTTGTGCTCCTGCTTGCTTTTAATTTCCTCCCTTATCTCAAGACCTTTGTGTATTCTGTTCCAGTGCATGAATTGCTTTTCTTTATTCTTCAAATCTCTCTTCAAAACTTATTCAGTTAAAAGTTCAGTGACCCTCTAACTTGGCTCTGAACATCCATAAGATCCTGTCTCCACATCACATAATTCTTTTCATAGTCTTTATCATATTTGAAGGAACTCTGATGGCAGAGTGATTAAAGCACTGAGCAGCTAACCAAAAGGTTGGCAGCTGGAACCTACCAGCCACTCTACAGAAGAAAGATGAGGCAGTCTACTGTAAAGATTTACAGCCTTGGAAACCCTATGAGACAGTTCTACTCTGTCCTATAGGGTTGCTGAGTTGGAATCAACTTGATGGTGGTGGGTAGTGATGGTATCATAGTTTTTATCTTTATCAATGTGATTATTACATTCTACCTCTCTATCAAATTGTAAGCTCCATGAACCAAAAAAAAATCCAAACTCACTGCAGTGGAATCGGTTCTGACTCATAGCAACCCCTCCTTGGGCTTCTGAGGCAGTATCTCTACAGAAGTAGATTGTCCAGTCTTCCTACTGAGGAGTAGCTGGTGGGATTGAATCACCGGCCTCCTGGTTAACAGTTAAATGCCTTAGGCACTACGCCACTAGAGCTCCCAAGCTCCATGAGAATAAACAAAAACAAACCAAACTCACTGCCATCAAGTGGATTCAAACACATAGCAACCCCCTATTGAGTTTCCCAGGGAGGTCTGGTGGTGCAGTGCCTGAGGCATTTGACTGCTAACCAGAAGGTTAGTGGTTCAAACCCACCAAGCCACCCTGTGGACGGAATACTGGGCAATCTACTTCAGTAAAGATTTGCTGCTTTGGAAACCCAAAGGGGGTTACTGAGTCAGAATCGACTCGATGACAGTGGGTTTGGTTTTGGTATTGCATTTCCAAGGCTGTAAATCTTTATGGAAGCAGACTGCCTCATTTTTCTTCCATAGAGCAGCTGGTGGGTTTGAACCACTGACCTTTTGGTTAACATTTGCCTTAACTACTACACTACCTGAGCTCCTTCCATGAGAATAGGAACCCTAGTTTTTCTCCCCTTGGATGCCATGTTCCCAGTCTAGCCCTGTGCCTACTATGCTATGTTGCTGTTGTTATGTGCCATTGAGTTAGACCCAACTCATGGTCACCCCTCCTTGGGTTTCCGAGGCAGTATCACTACGGAAGTAGATTGACCAACCTCCCTTCTGAGGAGTGGCTGGTGGGTTTGAATTGCCAGTCTTCTGGTTAGCAGTAAAGTGCCTTAGGCACTAGGCTACCAGAGCTCCCAAGAGACACAGCCAGGCTACCTGGCAGGAGCTGCTGATGGGTTTGAACTGCCAGTCTTGGGTGTGGCCTGAGGCCATCCCCTAAGGCCTACTATGCTATAGCAATCCCTTTTTGAATGAAGACCCCTGTTCCAGACTTTTGGAACTCTCACAGCCTTTGAGAGGGCCGTGGGCTAGATAAGGTGACCGCATCATTTATCCTCCAACCCATACCATTTCTGAGAGTGAAAGGGGGTGCTATTAATACTTGAGTTACCTGGTTACTGTTCCAGCCTTGAGTAAAGGGCTCTGTCAGCCACTTAAACAATTCTGAAGGCAGAAGCGTAATGAGAAGGCATCTAGGGTACAACATTGGGGGATCGGGGGAAGGAGATCACTTAAATTTGTTTAATTTCTACTGCTTTTTTCTACATCATGTACTTGCTACTTATCTGTTCATTCGTTTAGTGCCTCTGTCTTTCTTTAGAATGTAAGCTCCATAAAAATTGAGACACAAAAACCCTGATAGTACCTGTTTTGTTCACTGTTGTTTCCCACACCTAGAACAGTGCCTGGCATGTAGCAGGCACTCAAAAATATCTGAATGAATGTACTCACAGCTGAATATTATATAAATGGATGAATAAATCAAAACACCAAAAAAGAGAGCAAGACCAAAATTAATAAGCCATGACCAGCGGGGCAGGAGACCTAACAATCACCAAGGTCTAAGAATGACCTTGGTGATTAATACAATGGTGAAGAGGTTCCTGAGGCGGCCGAGCCGAGTAGCGGTTTAACGTCTCCCACCCTCTGAGCCCGAATATCCTCGCGAATCCTGCCTGCCTGCCTGCCTCTCCATCCCTTTTGCCGTTCCCCTCTGGCTTCTAGGCCCCCTCTGGCCCAATTCCCCCCACCGCGACACAGCCTCCCTCCACAACCCCCGCCCCTAGGTCTGCTCTGACCCCCAACTCCTCTTCCTCACACCCTAGGCCTCCTCCTGCCTCCGCCCTCAGAATACCCCCGACCCCGGCTGCCTCCTCTCCGGAACCCCTCAGCCCAGGCCCCCTGCGCCAGCCCCGCCCCCGCCTGGCCGCGCGGACCCGCTCACGCAGCACAGCGCCCCCTTGGCGCCAGCCTCTGCGGCTGCGCGCTAGCAGGGCCGAGGCTGAGGGAGGGGGGTCGCGCGGGGGGCCGACGGAACGGCTGTGGTGGCGGCGGGAGACGTTGCGAGCCCGGCGGCTGCGGGCAGACTAGGAGGGAGCTGAGGAAGCGGTCATGTCTCGCTACACGAGGCCCCCCAACACCTCCCTGTTTGTCAGGAACGTCGCAGACGCCACCAGGTGAGCGGCGGAGGCTGCTGGTTGGGGGCGCGGGGGAGGGGCGGGATAACGGCCGCGCCTCCGAGCCCGGCCAAGGCCCGGCGGGCTTACCCCGCGCCTTCTCGCGGGCCCTGCGGGCCCTGCGGTCGCTGCGACAGCGGCGCCCTCCTCAGGGAGATGCGAGCCCTCCGGCTATCCTAGGGCCTAGGCGGCCCTCATGGCTCCGCACTCGGGTCGGCGTTCAATCCTAGCGCGGCACAGACCCTTTGCCCATCCACGCAGCGCTTTGGGCGTCCCCCGTACCGCACGCGGCGGCCCCGTGCCCATCCTCTCCTCTCGGATCCGCGGAACGCGGGATGCACCTTTTCCTTGTAGCGGAGGCCCCTCCCCTTGTCCAGCCGTTAGTGTTTCCGCTCGGGCAGGTGTCCACGTTTCAGCCCCTTTGTCGCCTTACCCTGCCGAGGACCTCGAGAAAACCGCGCGATTTACCGTCCTGGGTGAATAGGAATTGGGGATGATGAGAATGCATTAATTGTAATGCGTACCCTGGGCTTTTCTAATTCCTTTTTCCTAGTTGTGGTCAAATTACAGGTGGTGCTTGTTAAATTTACACAAATGTATTCTATATACAAAGGAATAACTACAGTGAATGAAACTTGAACGTTTTAACAGGTATATAGGGTGAACATTTACATCAGATATACTTCTTAGAATGATAATCATAGGAGATAAGAAGGGCAATGTTTGCACAGGGAGATCGCTCAGGGGGCAGGAATGCATAAAAAATGAGGACACAGAGAAGAGGTACTACAGGGAGGAAGTGGGAAGAGCTGTTACATTGTGGGGACTTGCAGTCAGTGTCATAAAACAAAATGTGTATGAACTGTGTGAAAAATCAATCTGCTCTGTAAACTTTCACCCAAATCACAATAAGAACCTAAAAAGAAAGAAAGAAAAAAGAAATTTGGGCTTTTTAAAGTTCAGAGTACTGTCTAAATACCCATTATAAGGTGGTTTTGACACACTTCTCTGGTTGATTCTGATGCTCTCAGTCCCTCTGTCCCTGTTTGAGAATTCTTTCTACAAAGCAGCTCTGGTAGCATAGTGCCTAAGGCACTTGACTGCTAACCAGAAGGCTGGCGGTTCAAACCCCCCCAGCCACTCCTCGGAAGGAAGGTTGGGCA